AAAAGAACATTACGACTATATTTACAAAAAGGGTATTACTAGCTGTGGTAGTCTGTTTCATCTGAGATATGTTAGTCAGAAAGAAATTGTTTACTTTTAGCGCCTCTCAAGAAATATGTTAATTAGCTATAAATTATGCAAAATCACTGATTATGGGCCAGATTGATACCCACAGGTTTTTCTTCAGATCTTCTGAAAATAAGTATAAATCATTACAGCCAAGCACATTTCAGCATAATTTTAGGTCCCCATTTGGAGATCTCAAGCTTCGATTTTAGTGTAATTTTGTAGACCGAACAAGAAGCAAAAACCGGTGTGCCGTCAAGTCGCTGTCATTTATTCACAATTTATTCAAATGCTCTTATTTTTTGGAACAGGGAACCTGAATTGTATCTTAACTTGTTGATCTAGTTGAAACTTGGAAATAGTCAGGTGTTTTTGACACAGCGCGGCTCTACAATTTACCGAAATTCAACCTTCGATTTTGCTTGAAATTAGCTCTGCACGGGTAAAATGAGTTTCGGCGTCTAGCGAAGCCATAAAAAAGAATTTTCAAAAAATAAATTTATTTTGGACACTTGTATACCAATGCCTTTCAACACCCAAAAAATAAAGGAAATCTATTTTCCGAAGTCAAAGTCATCGGACCGCTCTTAGCGGGACTGCCACTTAATACTGATGGCACCAAATTGATGTGAACTTCATGAGACGGGGACTGGGACGAAAGAGTCACAGGTTCGTGCGTTGTGAACAAATCAGATTTACTTTTAATTTGTTGGCCGATGTGTAAAACTGTTAAAATCCTCTTGACTTTCTTTCTTGAACTTTTTCTAGGCTGACCTCCCTTCTGTCCGATGAGTTGTACCATTCGAGTCTCTTTAACAAGACAAAAAGAAAAGAATGGAAGTACTGGAAAGTTTCGAACGAAAATTCCTGGGGCCCTGACCTGGAGAGGCTTGTTGAGAAGGCTTTTTGTAAAGAACAGTGGCATAGTGGTAAAGTGCAAATGTAACAGAGAAAAACCAAAGACAAAAGCCACAACAGCAATTAAGCACATCGAAAGAAACCAGGAGGATGTGGAGACTAAAGAAATCACCCTGGACAAGGAGGATTTCACAGTTGAATTTCCTAAAGGTATTTCCTATAGTATTTGACAAAGTTAATGAAATTATTTGAAAATCATAATAAAAATTAAGGATCATTATTACACCCACCCATTGATTATTAAAGTCAAAGTCTAGTAAGGCACTTTGATACATTTATATTTTTTCTTGCTACTGTCGCAAGTTGATTCGAACTGACGTATTGTAGTGGGAGGCTGAGTTTAGGGCGGGTATAATACCTCGTTACATTCAGGTCGTTTAATTGGTCAATTATGGTCACGTGATATTGAATAGAAAGTTCCATTTCCAAAGAGTGCAATAGTGCTAATACTATTGCACTCTCCAGAGTGCAATAGTACGTGTACTATTGCACTCTATGTTTTCAACACACTTTTCGGACAGTGATCACAGTTTATTTACACTGTTTATTATTGTAGTTTTTTTACACCGTTTATTATAGTTTTTTAATAAACTGTTCTTGAAAAGCAATAGCCTACTCGGCTATCGCCTCGTTGAATAGAACATTCCATCTTTCACCTCATGAAAATATTGTTACCATTCCACTCATAAACATTCATTATTTGTATAATAATACACCAATTGTGAACTTGGTGACCGCACCTTCCCCCATATGTTTCTTTTTTAGTGCAGTAACAAAAAGAAATTGGCAATGCCTGCATGCAAATTGTAGTGTTTGAAAGCGCTTGTACTTTATACTTTCAGATTGTTAATACTGATGGCCCCAAATTGATGTGAACTTCATGAGACTGGGACTGGGAGGAAAGAGTCACAGGTTTGTGCGTTGTGAACAAATCAGATTTACTTTTAATTTGTTGGCCGATGTGTAAAACTGTTAAAATCCTCTTGACTTTCTTTCTTGAACTTTTTCTAGACTGACCTCCCTTCTGTCCGGTGAGTTGTACCATTCGAGTCTCTTTAACAAGACAAAAAGAAAAGAATGGAAGTACTGGAAAGTTTCCAACGAAAATTCCTGGGGCCCTGGCCTGGAGAGGCTTGTTAAGAAGGCTTTTCGAAAAGAACAGTGGTGTAGTGGTAAAGTGCAAATGTGACGGAGAAAAGCCGAAGACAAAAGCCACAAGGGCAATTAAACACATCGAAAGAAACCATGAGGATGTGGAGACTAAAGAAATCACCCTGGACAAGGAGGATTTCACAGTTGAATTCTATTAAGACACGTCCAAATTCACTTCAATGCATGTCTGAAGTAACTGAAGTAAGTCCGGTGGGTGGTGTTGAAGAAAGTGTGTAGAAGAAGGTTCTGAAAGTTCTCTGCAGTTATGTTTGAAAAATAATCATTAAAGCCCGCGAAATGAGTTTGAAATCATAACAGAACTCTACCGTCTCGACACTGTGCACATGTAACCGTAGCAGTTTCATTACGGTTGGATGAAACATTTTGACTGTGATAAATATTGCCAGCAGTAATCAAGGTAAAGTTCGAATAAGTATAACAACCAAACTCGAAATTGACATCGAACCGGCATCATGTGAACAGTTGCAAACCGTGTTCATTTCATACCGGCAGAGATTTGTACCGGCACTGTGTGAATGGGGTCTAATACTGAAAATATTTGGAAAAAAATAACAGCAGGAATCTCTGCTATTCGTCGTGCTGCTACATTTGCCACTTTTCAGGCCAGTTAAACAAAATTTCCTGATCTCTTTTCCCATCAATATTCAAATTCATGCCATTTACAATACAAAAAAGTCAGATCGAAAAAAGCTAGTGTGACGCTTGCTTTTTAGTTGCAACACCATAAAACCAAGAATGAGTGGATATTAGGATATCAACATTTCAAAACCTCTTTTTCTCCTCAGAAATCATGCCGAATCGTTCCCCATTGTTTTTTTTTATGACTGTGAATCAGGACAAAGCAATCTCGACGCTGATATCGTGGAAATAGCAATACGGCCTTTCATATTTACTGAGAAGTTCTTTCGTTCTTACATTTGTACCACAGAAAAGCTGTTCCAATTCAGTAAGTTCAGTTTCTTTATACATTTGTTGTAACAGCGGAGCAAACATGTTTCAACTTTTGTTGAGCCTAGTCTAGCTGTCCCTCGTTGTTTCTGAGCAAAAATCTAGCGACCGTAAACAACAGGGAGAAACAGAATGTCGCTGGGATAGAACAAAGTCGTATGCGACAGCTAGCGACCTCATGGAAACTAGGATTACAACTGAAATAAAATGGGATTTGACATTTTTTCTTAGTTCACCTGATTAAATTTCAGAATGTTTTTTGTGTTGGACCTTTTTCATAATGACGTCAAATGCGGAAAACGTGATGTTAGACGAAATTTGATTGGCTTGAAAAGGACTGTCATTATTGCTGAGCCAATCAAATTTCATGTATCATCTTGGAAACCGTGTTTGACGTCATTATGAAAAAGGTCTATTTCCACATCTTAATTCTTAAAGTTAACGTTGTCTTCAAAATACGATTTGTTGTCTTCAATTTGTAGCGATAAACAAATGTCATTATTAACAAAGACAAGTTGAAGGATGCAAAGTTGTTTAATGTGGTCTTCAAGAAAATTATGAAATGGATTAAAAACATGGTTCACAGGGCGAACAATTTTCGCAATCCGAAAAATCTGAAATATTTTCCAGGTGCTTTAAAATCACTACTATGTGAGTCGGGCCCATATCAAAGGTTTGAATTCTATTTGAGAACCATGCTCTGACACTGCAACAACGAAAAATTCGTTGTCTCGAGCGGGATTTGAACTCGTATCTTCGGCTTGTAGAGTAAGGTAGCAAGTCTTATCCATTTAAGTGCTCGAAATAAACGTTTAGTTCGTGCAAACATGACATGTTGTCACATAAAAATTGTAGGAGTGAAAAAAGTAAGCCCTTCCAGACTCCAGAAGGTTTGATTGTGGAGCATGTTTGTCAGTGTTTGAGATATTTAACTCATTCTTCAAATGTTATAATTTTCTCCTTCATTCTAGTTTGCGCTCATAATGGGTTTAATTTCGATTTCAAAATCCTCATCAATAATATGAAGAAATATGACGTCCCACTGAATGAACTGCAATTTGCAGAGGTGCATTTTGCTGATACGTTGGAGTTCTGCAAAATGGTGAGTTTTGATCAACGTTTTTAAAACGTTCATAAACGACTTGTATTTTTTTGGTTCCTTCGAAATGAATTCCTCAATGGTATTTGTGTTATGATTTCACTTGAGCCTTTCCATTTGTGATCTCTGATCAACACATGTCATGGAGGGGCTTAAGTGAAACAGATTTTAAATATTTTGTTTTAGGTCCAGGAAAATGGAAAGCTAAGTAGCCCGAAGTTGTCCATGGATGGGCTTTACGGCCATATCTTCCCGGGCAAAAAATTTAAGGGTGAGTGGAAAATGCAAGTTATTTGATCACACGCGCACACCAATCAAGAGGTAATTTGCATGTACAGATTTTTTTTTTAAAGGAATCATAAATGTCGCATTTTTTTTAGAAACAAGACACTTGCTCGGCGTTTACTTGGGTTACCTTTCGGTGTTTGCTTGAAAACATGCTAGAACGGTCTGGACGAACTAACAACCTAAGTTCATCCAGTAAGACGAAATAACTGTTAAGTTCGGCGCTAATTCGTCTGTTGTCTGCTTTTATAAGCAGACTAATTATCACACACACAATACGAAAATTCGCCTAAGTTCGTCCAGACGAATTATCCTGTAGAGTTATAGAAACACTTGTGGAATTTTGGGAAAAACGAGAAATTGCATGTCTGCACAGATCACACGTCCACCCATTCGTCTGGACCCTGTATTGCTCGTAGTTAACAAGTTAAGGGGTCAATAACCCAAGTACAGTAATTAATGTGGAAAATTCCTTCCATTTTTTTAGGTCATCACACCGCATTGGGGGACGTGAATGCACAAGTGGTGGTGTCATTTATCCAGACAACCATAGGTAGCAGGATTTTGTGTCAGGCCCTCATTGGCGATACCGAGGGCCTGATACGAAAACTAAGACATCCACTGATTATTGTAAGTTCAAAATTATACTCTGGTTATTCAAATAACATAAAAACAACTACAAATTAATAAGTGGTCACCAACAAGTACTTTTATGTGGCTAGCCCAGTTGTGACATCATCAATAAAACAATGAGATCAAAAATTTGCACAAGATGGCAGACATCTCATTGCTTTCCCTGAAAACATTTCAAAAACTAACCAAGATTTTATAAAGCTTTAACTCTATCATTTGGCGATAAATTTCATATTTTTAATTCAATTGCTTCCGAAGTAAATATCTCAACTAATATTTACCCCCCTTTAAAACAGAAACCACCATTGAAATCCTCATAAAATAACCTTTCAAATGGGGTCAAATGCCATCATAACATTACACAAACCAAACCAATTGTGTATTTTACTCACCGCTTGTCCAAATATTCTGTATTTCATATCGAGAAAATCTTGAATATCTCTTGAACTCCTCGGAATTCCCCACAAGTCAATGTGAGTGAAATACTCCTTGTATTCAAGCACTTTTGTGTGGAAAATTTCATTTTAATACGGCCAGTAGAAATATATTTATTCAAAATATCAATATCAGTTTTTACCGGTTTTTACTCGCACTTGCCAGCCACACGCTAAAATTGGCCAATAAGGACTACCCACAGGCCGATGCATGTGCAAATCACGCTGCAGGTGTAATTTGACCTTTAGAATCTATTTCCGACGTTTCCCGAGCGATAGGATTTAAACAATGCAATGTTTTGGCAGATCTGAGTTCATATTGTTTTCAACTGCCTTTGAGTAGACACCAAGAAACATCTTTACCGCAAAAAACTTATTGCAACTCGTCCACTACAACGAAATTATGCATCACATCTAACTGCGTCGACACCATCCAATGCTCAGCTAGATCAGCTAACCACCAAAGTCCTTTGTCTTCGCTGTGACCAACTTAAACTCACAGCCACTGGATCTTGTCAAACACTCCTTGTTTGTCTTCACGCTGCTACAAGATCAGCAGAAAATATGATTCCCCCCGACCCTGAACCAACGGTGATTCCCAACGACCTCTACAACAACAGCTGTTCAAGAATTGTTGCGAGGTGGTTTTACGTCCGAGCAGTCCAAGACCTTGCAAGCCTTGATTTCCTTGTCCTTTTACGATTCCACACTTCCTCGGATTGCCACAGTCCCTACTCCACCAGACCAAATGAATCCTGGAACTTCGTCTGCATTCCCTCCGTATCTTCCAGCAAAAACAATCTTGTCAATTCGCAATGGTGAGTACATTGACTTTAATACATTGTTGTCTGAAAATGTTGATGGTCACGGCGAGCATTTGAAAATATTGTTCGACTCGCTAGGAGGGCCCTGGTTTTCCATTGCAGTTTCACTGGCCCAACCAAAGAAAAGGCAGTGAACAATGCTTCTCTTTCCTGGGCTCACCGTGATCCTATGGCTTGTCATGTCTGTGGAAGCGCTGAACACTTTGTTAACTCCTGTCCAATTTCCGCCAACAGATCCACCTCAAGGTCCACAAAAGATCACTGCTGTAACTACAACTGTAGAGTCCCCTGCGCCACCAACCCCTGTCCATTCAAGCATCGCTGTAACAGACTCGTCTGCATCGGCCACAACCCAGCAATTGAACATGATGCAAGAGCTGGCGAATCTAGCAGTACCAAACGAGAACATTGAAAATTACCTCCAACACCTTAAACCTACAACACCAATTAATATAGCTTACTTAAAATATGAATTAAAGAATCATCCCAATGTTTTGTTCATTTCTAATTTAGTTCAAGGTTTTCGGAACATGTTTCCCATTGGTTGTGAGGGACCCTGCACATGCTGTTTTTTACACAACCTAAAATCAGCCGATGAGCACCCCAATTTGGTTACAAAAAATTTGTTAAAAGAGGTGACTTTAGGTCGAACAGCCGAGCCGTTTTTATCCCCACCATTTCAAAATTATCAAATTTATCCAATTTGCATGGTTCCTAAAAAACATTCTTTGGAAAAACATTCTTCCATCTGTCTCACCCAAAATCATCTAGCACCAGTGTTAACACAAATATTCCAAAACAAAACTACTCGTTAGAATATGTAAAAATCGACGATGCTATCAAATGAATCATTCAGCTTGGTAAAGGCTCCTGTATGGCAAACCGATATTCGTTCTGCATTTTGCAATGTTGGCCAGTCCACCCTAATGACTGGGAATTGGAAAGGGCTTTATTTTTTCAACCAAAAGCGCACCTTACATTTTTAATCAGCTGTCGGATGGGCTTGTGTCGATCGCAAAAAACAATTATGACATACATATTTTGCATATCTTAGATGATTTTTTTGTTATTGAACCACCGCCAAGGGCAAACTGCATGACGTCTTTATGTAAATTGCTTACTCTTATGACCAACATAAACGTTCCTATTGCACACAAAAAAAACTTTTCCAGTGTCAACCGAACTTGAATGCCCTGGCGTCCTCTTGAACCCGCAAAAAATGATTGCTAGCTTGCCTTCCAATAAACTCGCACAAGCTAAACAAGACCTTTCATGTTGGCTGTCAAAAAAATCCTGTACTCTACGTGAACTTCAGTCTTTAATAGGTACACTTCAATTTGCATGTCATGTGGTTGTGCCAGGCCACGCTTTCCTTGAACCACACTATCATATAAAACTCAATTTGTCCTTCCGTAAGGATGTCGCCATGTGGCTTGTTTTCTTAGAGCAATGGAATGGCACTAATATATTTCTCGATCTTGCGCCAACAACTTTGTCCGAACATGAGTTTTCGACCGATGCATCTGGTTCACTAGGTTATGGCGCTTTCTTTTCTAATTTCAGGGCAAATGGTCCAGCCAATTTCATGCACATAAAGAACAGCAAAGTATTGCATGGAAAGAGTTTTTCCCAGTTTACCTCGCATGTTCAGTCTGGGGCCATTTATGGTCGGGCAAACATATTATACTTTGGTGTGACAATGTTTTGGTTATTCATATTCTCAACTCAAAATCATCAAAAATTAATAAAATCATGGATCTCATAAGAAAAATTACAGTTCAAACACTCATTCACAATTTCACACTACACGCAAAGCATGTTCCCAGGTTAGATAATTCAGTCTCTGATGCATTATCCCGGTTTCAGATGCAACGTCATCCATCAACTAGCTCCCACAGCCTTACCAGAACCTACTGTCATTCCCGAATCCTTGATCCAAGTTTAACACGAAAAGTCAACTTGCTGCTTGGCGAAACCATCTCTTCTTTTACATGTATAACATATTCCACTGGAGTCCGTCAATATTTGGATTTCTGCTTTGCTCACAACCTTGCCACAATACCCTTCCACCAGCAACAGACGAAAATTTGGTGTATTCCATCACATCGCTTCACAGTAAAGTTCAGTACCAAACCGTCAAGTTATACCTCGCTGCAATTGTCAATTTCTATGTCGAACAGAACAAACCTCTCCGCTCCAACCATATGTTCCAACTCCACTGCATCTTAAAAGGCATCAAACAGTCCTCAAGTGCTCCACAATGCATGCGTCATCCCATAACTATACAAATTCAAATTCTATCAGAAATTTCAACCTTGCTATGTCCTGCATTTTCTGAGGACTTGATACTGTTATGCTTTGGGCAGCCTTTACCTTGGCCTTCTTTGGTTTTCTATGCATGAGCGAATTCACATATTCAAGTGCAAAGACTTTTCTCGCTGTCAAGGACATTGTTTTCATCCCGAACATAAAAACTCTTGAATCTCTACAAGTGCGCATAAAGCAATAAAAAACGGACCCGTTTCGCCACAGAACTACTCTGGCTATCTCTAAAAGTCACTCATCAGTATGTGCTGTCATCGCCTTACGAGAGTATTTACTGCAACGAAACACTTCTAACATTGATGAACCCTTATTTATCCTGCAGAAAGGGGAACCGCTCACAAGAACTTTACTTAATGCTAATTTAAGAGAACTTTTAAATATTTTAGGCTACATAGAAAAGAATACACCCCACATAGCTTTAGTATAGGCACAGCTACCACTGCTGCAGCTGCGAATCTGCCACCTTGGTTAATAAAAACTCTTGGTAGATGGCGATCGGACTGTTATGAACTGTATATTTGTACACCATAATTAAACTCTGTTCCTCAAAAATTAGCTACAGTACTTAATCCTTAAACCATACTGTACCTCTATGCAACTGTTAATATTAATTATTATTTATTTAAAAAAATTCCTGGTTTCTGATTGGCTAACAGCCAACTGTGAAATTGTCATATCAACTCAATACGGACTTTTCACATTCATATTAGCAAAATGACGTAAAAGTCAATATGAAAAAATTTTGAATGTTGTTGCACCATATTAGTATGAAAACGAGTATCATATTGACTCGCTGACGCCATTGATATGACACAACGAGTCAACGATGGCTGCCGAAGGACTAAGGAATTGTTTTTTTCTTAATACAAATAAAATACAAATGTTTGTTTTGAATTTTTTAAATAAATAATAAAACAATGATTGAATTCGATTTTCACTCAATGTGAAGAATTATCAAGCCTTCAGTTTGCCGTTATTAACCTCAGCCTTCGACTTCGGTTGATAACGGCAAACTTTGGGCTTGATAATTCTTCATATCGTTCTCAACCTCATTCAATAATTGTTAAATATTATATATATATATCATCCTGCATGCTTCACATGGGGGATCTACACTTTGTTTCGATCAGTGGCAGAAAGTGGTGTCCACTCGGCCACACCCACGGTGAAGCGGTGAAGCACACACCGGCAAAGGCAGCAAGGTCCATAACTGCGGGGGCCCTTACTCTCGTTCTGATCTTCACATCTCTTGGTCGCTTCACCATGGGGAAGCCCGGTCCGGACACAAGTTTCAATGTCCATAACAGTGAGGGCCCTTACTCTCACCCTGATGTTGTTTCTCCAGCTTTTCTGGGGGCCCTTACCTCGAGAAACTGCACTTTCCGTCACCCAATTTGGCCGCAAAAGATTTGTGTGATTTATTTTCAAAAATAAATTATGATAGATTAATTAATTAATTAATAACTATATTGTAATTTGATATAGTCAACAACAAATGTTTGTATATATATTAGTTACTAGTTAAAGCAAAATTGTAAATTTCAATTGACCCATTTGAAGAAGAAATAAAGAAAGCAGAGCGGAAAGTGGTGTCCACTCAGCCACACTTCACCCACGATGAAGCACACACTGGCAAAGGGAGCAAGGTCCATAACGGCGGGGGCCTTTCCCTCATCCCGATCTTCGCATCTCTTGGTCACTTCACCACGGGGAAGCCCGGTCCGGACAGAAGTTTCAATGTCCATAACGGTGAGGGCCCTTTCTCTCACCCTGATGTTGTTTCTCCAGCTTTTCTGGGGGCCCTTACCCCAAGAAACTGCACTTTCCGTCACCCAAGTTGGCCACAAAGGATTTGCATGATTTATTAAATTATTTATTTATTCTTGAAAATAACACTCCAAATAGTGTTTTGGATTGTGATTCGAACAAGACTATTATGAAAAAGATATCTTGAAAGAGGCCGAAGTTATGTTTGGCGAAAGGTATGCCTTTGTGAATTGTGATACATTTTATTACATTCTTATATTTTTCGGGAATATTGTGTAATCTAATGAAATATGACACTGCTGGCTAAATCGCTATAATGTTGACATTTTATTATATTTATTGACAGGAATTTTTTCACTGAATTGAATTATGTTATTTTCATCTATATAGCATGCACTGAACCGAATATATGAACCTGCAAAATACCAGGTCGGTTTCGAGCTTCTAAAGCTTCTAAAGGACGTTGCAACAAAATTACTTTCATGTATTGTAGAAGCCATTCTGAACATTCCCTCCTTGAAGAAACAAGTTACATACAAATTGCTCCAAGGAATAGATGACGATTGTACAAAGCTATGTGCCACAAAAGGCAGATCAATCTTGAGAGAGAAAACTTAGCCTGATATGATCGAATTTGAATGGAGTTCTCTCCTTTGCGAGATGTCAGAACGCTGTCCATTCTTACGCGACATTCTTGTGCCAAAGGTGTGAACAAAAATAGAAATCATGTTCCACCAATTTGTTTGTGTTATGCTATTCTTCCACAACAATGTAATTACACTGGCCTGTAGGCCAAGTATCTTAAATCCCTCTTTTTCTGGGGTTTTTTCGTACTTGAGAAATGGAGTTTGCGTTAGCTCATCGCAGGCTCAGAGTGCAATGATTAAGCCAAAATGCCATCGATTCCCTCGGTTCCATGATTTAGATAGTATAGTAATAAGCTTGTATTTATGTACGTATTAGTCGACTCATGCAATGCTCGAGGTACATTTTTCGTTTATTAGCCCATACACTTGTACGCACGCGCACAATTCCGAACTCCAATGGCGACTTTTCACAGAGTGATCAAACTATATTTTACACAGTTTCATTGAATTTTCAAAGAATTGTGCCGGTTTCCTATGGATTTTACGTTGTGTCATACTCTGGACTTTCTTGCGTATTGAATTAATGTGTTTTTCTTTGTGTAACGACTCGAAAACCACAAAATTTTTAGACCCAGCGAATTTATACAATATATAGAAGGATATTTAAACAAGGACAAGTTAAAGGTTTGACTTTTTAATAAACAAATATAAATATATGTCTTGGACTCATAACGTCTGTTGACAATCGTTGTGTACTTGTGTTAATTTTTGTGTGTTAATTTTTGCAACTTTCTTGCCTGTTGAATTAATGTTTTTCTTTTTGTATTAAATTAAACGACTCGAAAACCCCAAAATTTCATAAATTTGTACCCAGCGAAGTTATACAATATATTGGAATATAAACAAGGACAACCTCTCCTAATTCCTTACGATAGTTTTAGTCAAATGTTGACAATATACCTTTAAATACATGTATTAAAATCCGCGCAGTACTAGAATTAAGAGAATTCACGTAGCGCTGGCCGCTGGGTGCGGAAATTTTAGTACTGCACGAAATATAATCCGTGCGAAAAGCTTTGAGGTAGCTATAGTAAAGATAAGGCGTGTGTTCAAAATACCAACAAGAACTAGAACCATTATTGTATGGTTCTCATTTGCTAGACTTGCCACAAGTCGACCTCGAAGAAACGCATTTCGTTCAAGGTCAACTTGTGGCAAGTCTACTTATTTGCCTGATACAATAACATTTAGTTCGACGCAAATTTTAATACAAGTATGGTATCATATTTCATAACATAACAAACAATGTAAACTAGCCATACATTTTGCCGAACATAACATCGGCCCCTTTGGACATATCTTTTTCGTAATAATATTATTGGAACCAGAATCGAAAACACTATTTATAGTGTTATTTTCAAGCTTGTGTCTGGGGATTTTCATCTTTTATTTCGGTATTTACAGAATATTTATATTTTTAGCGTGGCGATCAAAACAACGCGCTGTTTAGGAAAAACCGGAAATCGATTCTGTAGGTTGGCATGATTTGCCTGTGCATTAATCGAGCTATAAACGTGCGTGCGAGTAAAAACCCGATATTTTGAAAAATTCAAAATAAATATTCCTACTCTGTGCCGTATTCAAACGAAACTTTGTACATGAAAGCGCTTGAATACAAGATGTATTTTACTCACATTGACTCTGAGCAAATTCTGAAGAGTTACTAAAGAATACTAAAGCAGGGTGCATTACCTGTTAATGGGTTAATAAGAGACATTGGCAGATGTGTTTGTTAACCCATTTACTATCAGTACTCTGCCACTAACAAGTAAAATCGTCTGGCGTTAGTCAGAGTTAATACTAAAGTAGTGTGCATTGGCAGCTAATAGGTTAATAGACTTAATATCTGCTTTTGACCCAATGGCTTCATTTTCATGTTGACTATTTACTCGACGTATTCCGTGCACACAATTTAAGAATGAGTTTGTGAACAGGCTTAAATGATGACTGAAACTCAACGAGGGAAAAACTGAAGTAATTCTAATCAGCACTTGGCAACAACTCGAAAAAATCGACTTCAACAATATTCGTGTTGGCAGCAATGTTGTTACTTGTGTTGAGAACGCCAAGAACCTCGGCTGCTGGTTTGACTCGCAAATGAAAATGGACACCCATGTTACTAAATGCTGCAAAGCTGCCTTCTTTCACCTTTATAACATTAGACGTATTAGGAAGTTCCTCGATCAACATACAACTCAGATTCTTGTGCAGGCTTTCGTTATAAGCCGCCTGGACTACTGTAACAGTCTTTTTTATGGCCTTCCTTCAACCCAAAATTACAAGCTGTTCAAAACGCGGCAGCCCGGCTTATCTGCAATACTCCTCGGTTCGATCATATCACTCCTGTCTTATATGATCTTCATTGGCTCCCGATTAAGTCCCGCATCGACTTTAAAATTCTCCTTATTACATACAAGGCCCTAAACAATCAAGCTCCAACGTACATTAAAGAGCTCCTCTCAATTAAAAAACCCACCAGTTACAACCCACCAGTTACAACCAACTTAGATCCCACTCTGATCCGTGTCTACTAGAACACCCCAGACTTAAAACTCTTAAGACCTTGGGTGATCGATCATTTTCTCTCGCTGCCCCAACTTTATGGAACGCTCTTCCCAAAGCTATCAGGATTGCATCCTCAACAGCTACATTTAAAAAGTTACTAAATACATTTCTATTCTTAGAAGCTTTTAATTAATGCTTGTGCATGTTCCATTTTTACTTCTAGTTATCGCTGTGATACTTTTATAAATTCTTAACATTATTGTAATATATTTTTATCTAATATTTATAATTTGTATGTTATTTACTACTGTAAGAAGCGCACTTGAACATATCCACATGAAAAGTGCGCTATACAAATGTAATTTCATTATCATTATCATTATGAACGAGAAGGAAACATTGGGGATATAACCGAGAATTGTCTAGAAGTATAAATTTTTGCATTCAGTTCATACGCCATAAAGGCAGCACTTTCCTTGCGATAGTAACTCCTAGTAATAGATTTGCACCATTACGTCTCCCGAAAAGGTCTTTTATTTTTTTTAAAAAGTCCATAAAATTTGCTTGCGGTTTAATATTTGTATTCCTGCCTTTTGCACCATAGCACGTATCTCGTTATTTTCAGGCCAGTGTGAATGCCTGAGCAGGCATCTTGTTGCAATCTAAATCTGGTGCAGAGAATCAAAACCGTACTGCTTTCCGAAGGCAAAGCAAAAAAAAACAGGTACGCTGGAGTAGTATATAGATTAAACATTGTACACATTTAGAGAAGCTTTTGAATCAAATAAGTTGAATAATGCTTCTTAAATTTAATCATGACATCTGATCTGACAAAACTACTTGCCCTACATAGAGGACATAAAGTGTGTGAAAGTATGTAAAAAATTAACATCATACATACATTACATGTCTAAGATCTATTGAAACATAAAAAAATTACATAATTTATAAGAATTACGACCACCCCGATAATACGATCAAAATATTTTGGTCATATTAATGGGATTCCAATGTATTTTTAATGTGCCAAAGACGATGCTAAAATGAACATTTTTGTGATTGGCTACCATAAACAAACGGACTTAGAGTTCATGACTCACCTTTTAGTAGGAAAATCTAATCTATATTGCACAACCACCCACAATAATGATCAGGTTGTGAACAAGGTGGAACAAGGATAAAAGCTCCAAGGAACTGGTGATAACTGGGGCAATAAAATCTGAGTCCATGACATGTGTAAGACAGAACAAAATAGAGATCTCCACCACTTTGCTTCAAACATCATTGTTGAAAGGGTGCCTTGCAAATGTTTATCCAAAATTGCTCCCTAATGCAACATTCTCACTGTACCAAATTCTATGTTCCTCTTGGACAACACAGAAAATGATTTTAAAGTATTGGTTGGACGGATTCTGGTAGATCACATCATTTCTCTTTCATTCATGAAGTCAATTACACCCACACACATAGAAAGTAAATATCCTAATGAAATGGTGCATAAGTCGACAATCATACCTTTATCCAGTTTGTTTATGCAGTTCAAGGAAGAGAAGAAGTATGATGACGTAGTTAATATCCTCTCTACATATGAAAATACCTTGGAAGATATATACTCAAAGGCCAAATTGATCAAAATTCCAAAAGGTACAAAACCAGCAGCAGCTTCAAATGTCAGTTTGTCTGGTGTGGCATCACACCCTGATCAACCTGGTGCTCATGCGGAAAAAAATTACAGTGAGGACCACATGAAAGATGTCCAGGTACCATTTGGTGGAGACCAGATGACAAGGGTTCTTTTCGCAGGGGCAAAAAATTTGCATAGAGGATGCCATGCTGTCAAGATGTGGTAGGACTGAACAATTAGTCATGCATCATTAGTATTCATATCGATTTAGTATTCATGTATATAAGTACGTTTTATAGTTCAATACATGTTGTCTTTTACAGTAGCTTGCTTTGACTTTAACTGAGAACATTACATGGTGGCAATGTAAAAAAAGCTTGAAATAAAATGGAAGCTTGCTAAACTTAACCAAGTATCGTTTGAAGGAAATGTAGCCAAAAACTGGCAAAGATTCAAACAGAAATTTGAAATATTCATTGTAGCGTCGGTAAATGTGGTAAGCAAAATCACTTTGCCATGACAACACTTAGACGCTGTGAGCAGTACTGAGAAGAGTGGGATATCACGGTAGAGATTTTCAATAAGCCATTGAAATTTAAACTAGACACTGGAGCAATGTGCAAGTGCAACATTTTGCCCAAATCCCAAATTGAGAGCTTAGGCTCAACAATTCAGTTGAAACAGACGAACACTAGACTAATTTTGTACAGTGGAAATGTGATTGACGTTGAAGGAACAGTAATATTACCTGTGTTTTACAGAAGCATGCAGTATTTACTCTAGTTCTATGTTATAAATAATCCTGTCCAGGCTATATTAGGCTTGAAAGCGTGTGAAGAGTTGAAAGTTATACGAAGAGTAGAAGAAATGAGTAAAACCGACAATGCAGAATTCGAAGCTTATGAAGATGTTTTTTCAACTGGTGTTATCGGATGTCTGCCAGTAACTCATCATATAGAGATAGACAAAAACGTAAAACCTGTTGTGCATGCACTGCATCAAGTTCCAGCAGCACTCCGTCCAAAAATCCAAGCAGAATTGGATCGTATGGAGAAGTTACTACACCAACAGAATGGGTCTCATCACTTGTTACGGTTGTCAATATTTGTTTGTGTATTGACCCCAAAGATCTGAACAAGGCGGTGAAGAGGGAATATTATCCTATGAAAACCATGGAAGATGTTCTTACAAGACTACCTGGAGCCAAGATATTTTCCACCCTTGACGTCACAAGTGGATTTTGAAGAGTCATCATTCCTGACCTGTTTTAATACACCATTTGGACAATATAGTTTTCAACGCCTACATTTGGTATAAAATCCGCACCTAAAGTTGATCAAAGAGTTATGGAGGAGTTGTTTGATGATATAGAAGGATTTTAGGATAATTGCTGATGATATAATGGTCTGGTGAAGAGACGAAGAAGAGCATGATCACGTTGTCCTCGATCGAGCATATGATGTTCAGCTGAAATTAAATAAGAAATGCAAGACATGTTAGAGAGGTGTCGTATATTGGACATACTTTTATGTCAGAAGGAATTGAGCCAGACAAAGAAAAAGTTCAAGCCATTTTACTGATGCCTGAGCCAAGTACCAAAAAAGAGCTGCAGCAGTTCATAGGAATGATACAGTATCTCGCAAAGTTCATTCCTGATCTCTCTGAGAAATCAGCCCCACTACAATCCTTGTTGAAAAAGAACATGGCATGGCAATGGAATGCTGAGCACCAAAGACTTACGAACTGTTGAAGAAAGACTGCAGCAAACAACCAACATTGCTTTTCCACGACATGTGAAAGCCAGTAAAAATTTCAGCTGATAGTAGTATATTATATTATATATTATTAATTAACATATTTAGACAGGTTGACTTCTTCAGGCAGTGTACCGCCTGCTATCAATGAAGGACCTGTATTTATGCTAAAATTAATTAAGTATTTAACTAAGATTGTTTTCTTATGACATAGAATGTACAAAACATGATCACTAAACATACATTAACAATAGTAGGAAAATGTTCACAATTACGGCGAACTAAAGTTAAAAGATTCAACTTTTCTTTTAAAGTTAATATACGAGTTCTCATTCCTTATTTCCTCGCTTAGTGAATTAAACAGCAAAACTCCTTGCACGGAGAACGACTTTCTACCGGCCTCTGTCTTAACTTTCGGTACAATTAAACGTGAGTTGTTGCTTCGTGTGTTTATTCCGTGATTGAAACGTTGGAAGTTCACGTGGGGAAAATTTGGGCCAATCGAATGTAAAGATTTAAAAACATCCATTACAACACATCTTTTGCGACTAGTTACACAATCTCATGTAAACAATTTTTTGGACCAATTATTCTTGCCGCTCTATCTTGCAGTCTCTGTATTTTGGAATTAGCTGTGTTACTGAGGCCCAAATACACTGGATAGCAGTAAAACATAATAGGATAAATCATTGTTCGATAAATTCTTTCCGCAACATAGGGACTTATATTAGAGCGTATTCGTGAGAGTTGGCTCAAACGAGACGAAACTCTCTTATATACTTTTGACACTTGACTTGATAGAGTTAGGTGGTTATCCATAATAATACCCAAGTATTAATACTCTTTAACTTGATTGATAGATGTCCCGTTCATCATTATACTGCAATCCTGTTGACGTGCTAATTTTTGAGGCGTTCCATATAATACAAATTCAGTTTTTCCTTTTTTCAGGTTAACAATTAACTTATTTGAGTCCAGCCATTGGGAAACACGTTCGATATCACTATTGATAGATCTCTGGATTTCATCTGTGCCATTCGCTGAATAATAAAGCACAGTATCATCAGCGTACATTATGATGTTACATTTCTTCAAAGACAAGTATAAATCGTTAATCTGTAAGACAAACAGAAGAGGGCCGAGAATTGATCCTTGTGGGACACCGCAGGATACATGCTCCTCATCTGATTTAACTTGGTTGAAGTATACGAACTGAGATCGATTGAGTAAATAATCCTTCATCCAAAGAAGTTCGATGTTTCTTATTCCATAATACGGCAGCTTATTGAGCAAACATGCATGACTAACCGTGTCAAATGCTTTTCGTAAGTCCAGATATACTACACCAGTACATCGACTTTTATCCATATTTTGACGAATATGTTCGTTGAGATATGTCACAGCATGCTGGGTACATTTCCCACGTCTGAAACCAAATTGTTGAGGGCAGAGTAATTGGTTTCTTTCAAGATGGTCTGTGATTTGCTGATGTGCAATCCTTTCGATGACTTTTGAAACCGTATTTAGGACCGATATAGGTCGATAATTGTCGAAAGATGCTCGATCTTCGGATTTATAGATCGGGATAACTTTTCCACATTTTTCTGCATTTGGGAAAGTTCCATATTCAAAACTCATGTTGACCAATATACAAAGAGGCAGCGCTAGTTCTTCAGACGCATCCTTCAAGAGAGATGCTGGCAAGTTGTCGGGGCCAGCGGCTTTGGAAATTCTCATAGATTGTAGTATTTTGGCAACTTTTGAGCAATTGACTTTAGAAAATTTGAAGAATTTGCCAGTTGGATTTATCGTATGCATTAAATTATCATCATTTCTAAGCGAGCTACAAGTTTTGTTGGTGATTGTAACAACGTTTTGTTGTAGGCGGCTGCCAATAGTTGAAAAATAACGACAGAACCCATTTGCTATTTTCCTGGTATCAGATACTAATTCATTATTCACCTTAAAAAAAAGATGATTTTGATGTTTTGTTATTCCCAGGATATAATTTTTTAATTAACTTCCAAAAAGTCTTAGGGGATTAACCATTGTTGTAAAGGAGATTCCGACAAAAGTTTGCTTTGTTATGCTTTATAGCAGAAGTAACTAAATTTCGCAAACGTCTATAAGTCGACCAATGGAGTTCTTGATTGGTTTGTCTAGCTTGTTTAAGATAGTAATCACGGGAGATCATCATAGATTTAAGCTCTCTTGTTAACCATGGACATACTCGCCCTCTTATTGACTTCTCTACAAACGGGACGTGGTTATCAATAGTGCGAGAGAGTTTTTCTTTAAATATGTTCCAGTCGTGATTCAAGTCATACCCACAGAACTCCCCATTCCAGTCGATAACCGAAAGTTCTCTCCTAAAAGACATCTTATCGTATTTTGAGAAATCTCGCTTCCGTATTTTGCAGGATTTAAATTTTTGCAAGTTTATTTTCCTTATTATGCCAGTTAAGTCGTGATCACTTAATGAGTTCGCATAGACAATAGAGTCTGCAATGTGCTGCTCATGTGTTGTAAAGAACAGATCAATAAGTGTTTTTGAATGAGCTGTTATTCTGGTCGCGGTGGTAATTAATTGCTTGAGGCCATTAACTTTAAAAACGTCCTTAAGTTCTCGATGATCCGTTGGGGCCAAGTAGTCACAGTTTAAGTCCCCCGCGAGTATAACTTCTTTGTTTTCATTAATAGCAATGTCAAGCATATTATCGAACTTAGAATTAAAATTCTTGTCGAGGTACAAGGATGAATCCGGGGGTTTGTATACAATACAAATAAGAATCGATTTTGAGTTTACAATAAACACTTCAACCCAAATTGCTTCTACCCCATCAATTTCTAGGTCTTTCCTTCGCTGAAAACTAATACCATCGCGAATATAGCATAGTACTCCACCGTAAACCGCAGAATTTCGATCTTTACGTTCAACAACATAACCGTCTACCTCAAGCTCCGAGTCATTAATTGACGCACTAGTATGACTTTCAGAGATCCCGAAGATATGAACATCTTTTTTGCACAGAAACAATCTAATCTGATCTAATTTGTTCATAATCCCGTTAACATTTTGGTGAAACAATTTTAGTCCACGTTTCTTCATAAATGTGCAAAGGACATTGCTATCTACAGTTTGTGGCGAACCAGCATCTTGATCTGCGATATTAACAAAGCAGATATTACAGTAGAATTTCTCCTTGTTATTTCGCAGTTCGTCTTTCAAACATTTAAGATGAAAAGCATTCTTACATTCGGCACAAGTACCTGAGATTTGATTTCTTCGGATTGTCTTCCAGCACGCTTGGCATTGAGGTTTCATCGGTCCAGGGCATAACTCTACATCTCCAGCTAACAGCAATAAAATACGAAGCAAGGACGCTCTTGTGACAACGAGACATCTTTCTTGCTTATACTGCCACAATGATGGATAGATATACGTTCCTTCAAACGAATTAGAATCTTTCGAGGCTTCCCAGTAACAACATGAGCTACTGTTTGTAAAGCAAGGTTTTTTAATCATAAGAATTATTACAACAAGCAGAACGCTCTTCAGAGCGACGAACACGAACACGTTGAAGATGGATTACCTTTTTCTTATCATGCACACTGTATATTCAACTCATCTATAATATAACTGCACTTATTGATTTGCAGTTCAAAGCCTTCTTTTTCTGATCCGCGGTGATTGCTTTCTGTGACTATAGGCTAAAAGACGCAATGACTCCGCTGAGTGGTATGGGGAATGAGTTGTGGAATGAAAAATTACATCAAGCCTGACAGTGTAAATAAACCACATTTTATAATAACGCGGGCTCAATTTTATTAAATAATTAATGTTGAATCACTTGAATATAATATTAAATATCGTTTGAATGTTATATTAAAGTACTTTACTATATTAATTATTATAAAGGTGAATTTTAAACAATACTGAATACTATAGTATATTGTTGCTTTTGAACCAGTGAATTTTATCGCATCATACAGACGAAGACGTGAAAGCTGCAGGTGTGGTTAAAGAGTTAAATATTTTGGTTTCCATTTGATTTAATCAACTTTCTAAGCTGTACAATATTGATAGGCACATCAGAGTTTGTATTGGTGAAACTCAGTGTTGTTATGACTGTTTTCCATGACGAAATTAAAAGTGCTGTTTTAATTGTCGTGTATCTTCATACTTTTGTGACAAGGCAGCTAAGACAGCTAAAATCGATCCCCTTTTTCTTGCTTAATTAAGTGCTTAATTAATTATTCTATATTCCTATACTTTTCTCTTCATTTAAAATTCTTGGTGTTGTTGTTCTACCAGTTCTTGCCTTTAAAATGTGTCTTTTGGCCAGAAATAGAAGCAATATCGAAGTGGTCAACAATATTTGGGCTGCAAGTATTTTGTTGTTGTTGTTGTTGTTGTTGTTGTTGTTGTTGTTGTTGTTGTTGTTGTTGTTGTTGTTGTGTGATGGTGGTGAAAGTACTTGCCAAAAATCAAAGCGTCCAAAACGAAATATAAGAGCACAAAATTATCAATCAAAACAATATTCAGCTACAAATATTGAACATTATATAGGGAACAAATTCATGATTATTGTGGTGCATACCCTCATATGTTTCCAAAAACAAGCATAAATTTGTGACGTCCTAGAGAGAACGTGAAACACCCTGAATGTCGTCCTAAACACAACGTCAATGACGTTCTTGACGAAACCGGAAGTGAACTACCACATGCCACGTCATTTTCACGTCCTCGTCGACGTCGCTAAAGCAGTCTCCTACTTTTGATAAAAAATATCCGACGACATCTTGAAACATCATTGTTGCCATAACAACGGTATTGTGTAGCTTTCGTCCAAAAATACGGACCTAAATCTTTAATTTTTTTAATAACTGTATTCAGCCACGTTTGAGTCAATTTAAATTGTATAGCCATAGTATCGGTCTCTCCTTCAGTTTCCCAACAGCAAACATTTCTATTAGCATTTGCATTTGTCTTTGCATTTGCATTTGCATTGGCATTTGCATTTGTATTTGTATTTGCATTTGCATTTGCATTTGCATTTGCATTTGCATTTGCATTTGCATTTGCATTTGCATTTGCATTTGCATTTGCATTTGTATTTGTAAACTATGCCCTGACTAAAGGAAAATGAGAGTTGACAAGAGTTGGTAATCATGCACGAATGGTTACAGGGAACATTTCAAGCCCTAGATTTAATTGGCAAAATAAAGGTTCGATAAGTATATGTGTCGATACGTCTGAAGAGGAACATAACCTTAAGAATAACGTACTTTATGATAGGCTATAAAGTTTTTCATTCTGAAAATGATCATTCTGAAAATTAGCCACGAGTTCGTAGACTGCAAACAACGGCTATATAGCCCAGTCGCTCTGAACTAAACTGAGCTAGCTGCAAGTTAAGTTCAGTGTAAATGATTATTGTAAGGAATTGTTACCTTGGTTATTGTATGGCAGTGTTACAACTACACCAAACACTGTCAGAGAGCTTCCTTTCTTCATTTCAATCCTCAGACCTTTCACTGATACAGTCACAGCTACAACGCAACTTGCTCGGCCACTGCATCGTTTATTTTTGGTCAAAACCAAAAATGAGTTGTCCAAATCTTTTGCTAATACATACTGGCATGCACCCATGAAATGGTATCTTTTCCCGTCGAATGTTCTGTAATGTGGATCCCCTGAAGCACTACACACAGCTTCAGCTGCAAGAAGAATATTACGTTCATATAAATTAGAAAAAAAAAACAAGCGCTACGTTTTCATCTCACTCTGTTTGGAGAGCGGGCTCGAATTGTTAAAGAAAAAGTGACGTTTCCAAACAATTTCGCTCCGGCGTAGTGTGAACGCCACGGCTAATTTTCACTTTTCTTTCATGCGCCGTTGTTAAGCTCCGGTGTCAAGCGCAATTTCTGTCCTCTGCGAAATACTTGACAAACCGTGACGGCCCATAAATTTTTCGCGCGTCGGCGCGTGCATGGGCACGAAATACACGACGCTTGCTAAATACATAACTATAGGTCGAAAATATATTTTTATCTTTTTTTTTCAAATCTTGTATGACGGAACTTTCTCTAAGCCGCATTTTATTAATTCTGTGTTTGAATAATTAGACCATATAGGCTTAGTACAAAAAGATTATTTTAATAACTACAGTACGTTTTCAGAAGAACTATCAAGAAAAAAGGCTTAAACATCAGAGTGATACAGCGCCCGGGAAAGTCCCTTAGAAGCATGGTTGTCCAATCACGTCCGTATGATAGCCATTGCCGAGCTGGTCCGAAATGTAAGTTTTGTCAAGTTTGAGACAAAAAGAATATGTGCTTCCGGAAGGATTTGGTCTACTCCATAAAGTGCGGTTTATGTGACAAGAACCATTTTTTACCCATCTAATGACGTCAGATAATGTATTTTGTGGCATAAATTAGCATACACGTTTATTTTCAAAATGGCGGACAACTGTTGGAATTTTTTTCAATTTTCTCAACAAATAAACGCGACAAACCGGCAAAAATATGAAATTAAATATTCCGTAAATATATCTAATAGATATATAAGTAATAAAAATTTTGGTTGCCAATGTCCTTTAAGTTAAATTAAAACGTGTTAATTGAACACTAACACTAGATAATGGGACTTGTGGAGTCTTGTTGTGACCTCTTCAGCTATTCACGGGCAAATTTATGGGGTAAGAGAGGCCAGTGTTGATGAACTTCTATTCAGACAAATTTTATACTTTCCGGTGGGATAGCTCGAAATTGTAAATCTAGAAGCTGAAATCGGTGGATAGCTAGAAATTGTAAGAACCTGTTTCACTATGGTAACAACATCACAGTAGATTTGTGGTATTTATATTTATGCACAGCGGATGCATTATCCAAGACCAGTTTTCAGATCAGTTTGCTAATATTGCATCACTATATGTTGCATATAAGCGGGCACATCATTGATCTCAAAATTATGGAGGAGTGTCATTGAGTAGAATAAGCATGCAAGATTGTAAAAATACATGCATGACAAAGTCATTTTATGTAGCTGTGAAGCCAAATTCCTTGCTTTTACGTTGGGATAAAATGTAAATAGATGCCAAAACATAACGAGAAATTAAGGGGAAAATATAAGACAAGTAGAATTAGTTAGGCAAAGGGCAAGGTAAGTCTGTCATAAATTGTGCGTATCTTTGTTGTAAGTACGTGTGCGGATGGCTGTGAAAGAGCACCTGAAGTATCTTCAGTACCGGACATCTATAATAAGTGTTAGTCTATAACAAATATGCAGTGCGTCTCACCTTCAGTCTGGCATCTATCACCACGGTAACCTGAAGCACATGTACATTTGTAACCTTTACCAACATTCTCACAAATACCACCATTCATACATGGCGCGACTGCACACGGAGAGACTGAGGAGAGAAAAATAGTTACTGTTGGTTGGAATAGACATTAGATCGTTCAAATCCGAAAATGGAATTGACTAGGACTTATTCTCGAACGGATTAAGAAAGATACAACTATCTAAAAAATACAAACAGAACTTCGACGTTTCGAGCGAAGGATTATATTTTTCACAGATAATTGTACCTCTCTCAACACACAGCCGTCCTGAATAGGGTCTATGCTGTCCTAAAAGTGGATGCAGGGATACTAGGAACTCCTTGAGATTAAGGAACAGTTTTATTGGTATTTTTTCACTGGAGATCCTATACGAAATCAGGAAATGAATTTTCAGTTTAATTTGCCATATATCCATTGTCATGCAAAAAGCATTTAAAGACCGTGATGGTAACATATTGAACATATATTGTTGCTCTCTTTCATCTTGGGATATTTAACATTATTCGATAAGCAAACGCTCTATAGACCCATATTCTCAAGTGAAATCTTGTATAAAACATTTTGCAGCTTTCCATAAGTACGAATGCGGTTTAATGACTAGTTCTGAGTAGTCCTCATGTTAGCGCCAATTATGAGTAATTTAGATGAAATCTATTTATTAAAACTGATCGGGTAAACTAGGTATAGTAGCATGGTCTACCGTGCAATTTGGAAAAAGAAACACGCACGAGTGATTTTTTCAAAGATGATCGAAATAGCACAAGTCGCACGAACAAGTGCAACTTGATGTTTTTGAAAAACTGTCGAATATATGTTTTTTGAAATTGGACAAAAAATCATGAGATGTAAACACCCCCCCCCCCGCCATTCAGGGCTTGTTGTTGTTGTTGTTAGTTATACTGTACTTACATTCCACTAGGTGAAAAATCTGATTTATCGTACAATACAATAAATAGAAACCTGGCTGAAATTAGTTTCCATAAAATTCTGATGTGTATTCTAATTAACATTATGAAGAGTTTTTCATAAAATTTAAAATATAAAAAGACGAGGACCTACGCAGTTGTCCGGTTATAAATTTGAAGGTCACATATTCTTGTTTTTAGACTGCAAAAAGAGTTATTCTTTTCTTGTCGAGCGGTCCATGCACCTTATATAGCGGTTTGTATTTTGTTGGTTTTCGACCGCTAAGGGACTAATCGAAATGCTACTGCATTTTATTGATGGACTGCGGCGTAGCCTTACACTAAAAAGCAGATACTGTACTTACCACATTCCTTAAACTGTGGTAAATGTTTCCACTGAAAATTCACTCCGACCAATGAACAGGTGTCGGCGTATGCCGAATACTCCTCGCATAAACAAGACAACGGATGACCCTTGCACGCGCAAACATCATATTCACAATCCTGTATAAAACCTGAGTCCACCTTAACGTGATTATGACATGCGGAGAATGGCTGTCGTCTCAATAACGAGCATTTCGCTCTGGCCTCTTTGATATTCGCACCAGCAGTCGTACACGGATTAGGTAAAGGAGGCGCATCCGGGCAGGACCGATCAACTTTCCACGAGTCGGCAAAAATTTGGTTGCTGCGGGCAATCTGCTTGTCAGGCATAATGAACTCGTCATTTTTTTGACCGTTGAAATTACCACAGAGACCAATAGTCTTCCCCTGGTATCGATCATGTAGAGTAATATAGACATTATACACTCCATCGTATTGTACTGCGAAACCAATATCGGTCGAGATTCGTATTGTGCGAGCGCCGTGTTTCACAATGTTGGCACCTAGGTGGAAATATTAACAATTGTTATATAGCTAGGGTAAACAGCAAACGTGATTGGCTGATTTGTGGTCACGTGGCTTTTGATAAGTGCAGTGTATCAAGTGAAAAATTATTTCCCGCTCCGACTGGCTCAGTGAAACTCTAAGGGAACTGGAACGATAACTTAGCCGCCATCTTTGAAGCCACTCGTGATGGCCGCCATGTACGTAAGGCATCGAAAATACGCCGTCGAAAAGACATCTGTTTTTGAGCACTAAACTGATAGCTGTATTTCAACAAGGAAAAATATTAAAACTTTCAACAATACTTGAAATTTAATACAAAACATGTTTCCAGAATGTAGAGCAGTTTTAAAGTTATTCTTCAGGAGTCAAAGTGCGGAGTTGTTTTCGGCCAGTTCAAACTTGTGTAATATTTTAAATGGGAAACTGTTACCCCGGACGTTTTTGCTGTTAGTGGATGTAAAATAATTATAAACGCTATCCAGGAAACCAGGTTGAATCTTTAAAATCGAAGCTTTTTATAAAAAAAAGTCCTTTTCTTGCTAATTATCGCTCAAAAACAAACTTTTGACTGAATTTGCCGCTACTCGAAACCCTCCCCAGTCCTTTTGAAAGTTAATTTATCCCGCGCGCCTCCCGCGCTTGGCTTCAAATTTTTGGCTTTAACTAATCATAGGACTTGATCACTGGAGTTCCAGTTTCCCTTTAGTTCACTGGACCGGCTACGTACATAAATAAACAAAATGGCCGCACACTAGCAAACAATTTTCCAAGTTTGTCTTAAATTAAAAAATGTAAAGAGAAGATAAACGGGCAACATGGTATGCTGCTGAAACTATTTAAGTACTGTAGGTTCTTATAATTTTAAACTATTGATGAAATACAATTGTTGTATGATAATCTTAGTATATTGATTTCTCTTTCGTCGCTATACAACAAAACATGTAATGTCTATTCCCTCGAGTCTGAGTAGACTCTCGGGAACATCAAACTATTTCCTTCAGGAGCCGGCGGACATCAAGTGTATATTATTCATCGAAGTGGAGGTACCCAAAAATATTCTAAAACAATTTGTTTTTATGTCCCATAAACAATACTTACAAGCTTTTGGTGAATTTATTCATTGGAATAGTTTTAGAGAATACCCTTGAACACTGTGAAGAGAAAATCGTCCGTCTGTAACTGGAACGAAACGAGAAGCCATTTTGTTTTTGCCCAGAGGTGAATAGTGCACTCAAGGATATTCGAATCTGATAAACCAATCAAATTGCGCGAAAAGCATTATCCGCCTCCTGAGAATATGCTAAATGTATTTATTATATAGACAACTCGCGGTCATATAATTGGCTCTCTAGTAGCTGGATCGATATTAGTAGAAAATCTACAATAGGGCGACTCAAAATTTACCGTTGGCGAACGCGGAGAATTCGAAAATTGAATAGTCGTTCTGCGAACTCGAGTCGTATATGAGCTGATAGTCGACGAGGTGCATAGCATCGAGTTTAGCTTGGCAACCACATGCACAACTTGGCCTAAACTTGAGAAAACACTGCTGCTCGTTTCTAAAACTTCTGTGAATAATTCTCAAATATTTATAATATAACATTTTTAGTATGCGGGCGGTGATTGGTCGAGAAGCGTGGTTCTATATATAGCTGTATGGAAACACAGGAAACGTCCTGTCTACCAGCTTTGAATAAAAACTTTAAAACGTCAAAAACATTTAACAGGCGCTGTAATCGGCAAAAAATGTGTGATAATATTAGTTTTGACAAACAAATTGCGGAATCACAAGATAAAAAGAGAATTCCCATTTTAAATTATAAATAGAGGAGAACTTGATCATTTTGTGTTCAAATTGGCGAGTTGAAAGAAGAAAGCCTTCCAATCTCTATGATTTTATGGGTAATGCGAATTTGTAAATTAATCGATATAAAAAATGGGCAAAAAAGCTTTTCCCGAGTTTTATTTTAAAAGAAATAGAAAATATTTTCATCGTGTAGAAATAGAAACCTTTGTGGTAGTTTGAGAGAAGTCGAAATTACGTGGGAAAACTCTAAAACTGTATATAAAAAGGGAAAATGTTAAACTTTAATTTCTATTTCTTAAAGAATGGCATGTTTTCTCGTGTAATTTGGATGAAACAAGCACTCGTCCTTTTGGGCTCGTGTTATCTTGATAGTGGGCTCGTGTTATCTTGAAACACTCACTCGTGCAAATTGCATCCGAAACAATGCTATAACCTTTACTACAAAAGGTCTTATGGCCAGAAATCACAGACATGATGTATTATACTTCTTGCGTAATTTGCATATCACATTGAAATATTACTTCAACTATAAACAGTGAATTATATAACGCAACGTTATTAATCGCAAGTTTGAGAATAAGGTAGGTTCTTTTGCAACTTGTCTCAAATTCTCAGTCGAAGTATTTAGTGTAATGGGGGCCCGATTTCTGTTACTACCTATTCTGCATTTTCAATATTTGTACAGAGGTTAGCTTTCGCGACATTTCTCTATTTAATTAACTCTACATAAGAATATCGCACTACTACTGCCAGTAGGAACAAGCGGAAATGCAGAATAGGCAGTAACTTAAACCAGGCAAACATTACAATAAATATTTCTACAAATTTATTGAATGGCCGTCATCTTGAAAATTGATCTGTATAGTAAACTGGAACGACTGAAGCACTGGAAACTGAGTCTGCAATAGGCAAACGCAAACTCGATTTCTTGACGACGAAGAAAACAGAAAGAAAACAGAAAATTAGGGATTTAAGACACTTGACCTTTCTGTTCAGTGCAATTAGTAAAGAAATCGAATAATCATGTCCGTAATTTCTGCATGCATGGTCATGAATATTGTTGTTCAAAATTAGGTTATAGACCAATATCGTCCATCATATCGTGCTAGTTTAGCAGTAGCCAATAACTAACTAGAAATTCGTTTCACATTTTATTATGATTAATCACCTTGTTTCTTGTATGGTAGTCCAACAGCAATACCAAACACAGTCACATTACTACCTCGTGAAACATGCACGGTCAATCCTTTAACTTTCACAGTAATTGCCTTCGTGCACGTGAATCTACCACCAAAACATGCTTCATTCTCGGAGTAAACTTTGAATTTGTTATCAACATCTTCTGATAGGACGTAACTACATTTGCCTTGATAGTGGAACAATTTACCATCAAACGTCCTGTAGTGTGGGTCACCTGTGGCGCTGCATGTAGCTTCCACTAGAAACAGAAAAGAAAAGATTTAAGATCGTTCCAGATTTTAGGCAATTTTGGGTAGAGTGGCGTTCATTTCGTTCTTCTCTGCAGTGCCAAACTAAGATGAATATAGTTTCATATCTCTGAGGATGGTTCTGAAACAGCTGACTACAGGTCTACAACAATCTACGAAAAAATGTCGAAAAGAAGAAGACATACGAAAAAATGTTTCCATTTCGACGTTACGCCATTTAGCACAAAAAAATTATTGATTTTTACTTAGACACATAAAGTTGATAATATAATAGTCATTTACATGTACTCACGGTGTGCTTTCTTGACTAAAAATCCGGCAATAACTAAGAAACTGCAAAACAAGTAAGACGCCATTTCTTTGCACCTGTAATAAATATATAGAGTATGATACTTGAAGGGTGCATGAAGGAGCTTAAAATAATTAATAAAGAATGTTTACAGCTTTTTCATATCTTCAAATTTTCATGAGCTTGATATATTTTAACTAAAATTGGAGCAGTGGGTTGCCCGCAGTCTTGGATTATTCGGGATATTCATGGTATACGTCACAAGTTGGGCCACACAAATTTTTATTTTGACAGTCAGTGATCAATATGTGCCCAAAACTCGTTTTTGGTTGCTATTTCGAATTTTGAATTGAACAAAAACATTTTAAAAACTTTCATTGTGATCACTTAGATGCCACACAGAGGTAGTTTAATAAGCCTACCCACTCTTGACGTCATCAAAATCACAGTTAATTAAAAAGTTAACGATTTGTTCAAGATTGCGGATACCTCATGCTTTCAGTCCAGATATTGCAAAAGCTGAGCTTTATATGAGAAATTATACATAATTCTAAAAAACTATTTCAAATGGGACAACCTAAATTTTAGTTGCAATGTCCTTTATAGCAAACAAGATTTTAATTTGGGGTCATTTCGTTCGATAGAATGAAGCATATTATTATATAGTAATAATATTTGAACGCAAATTTCATACATCTTTATATAGACATATAACTAGGAGTATTTGCAAAAAAATACTACTTTAGAGCCTCCAGCAGGAAACAAACCCGCGGGCGATTCCTACGCAGGAAGCCCCTATAGTTTTGTTACCTAGCTGCTAGACGGCCGAAAGTTGAATTTTGTGATACTGTCCCTGGTTAGGTCAAAAATGTATTTATATTTGAGTTCGAATATTCCAACTACAGAAGAAACTCATCTACTAAAGTATTTAATTTGCAGTGGATCCTCCCGTTTGAAAAGACATTGGCTCACATGGATGAGTTGCATGCATATCGGTCCAGTCCAGTGAACTGTAATAACACTGGAACGCTAACTGCAGATAAACATGCCCATACTTGCCTGAAGCCAAAATGGCGCTTCTCGCGAGCACAACCAGCAATAAATTAACTTTCCAAAGGACTGGGGAGAGTTTCGAGGAGCGGGAAATTCAGTCAAAAGTTTGTTTTTGAACGAAAATCAGCAAGAAAAAGTACTTTTTTATCAAAAGGCTTCAACTTTAAAGATTCAAACCTGGTTTCCTGGATAGTTCTAAGTATTTTACATCCACTAACAGCAAAAACGTCCCGGGTAACAGCTTGATATTCAAAATATTACACAAGTTTGAACGTGCCGAAAAAAACTTCGCACTTTGACTCCTGAAAAAAGAACTTTATAACTGCTCTACGTTCTGGAAACATGTTTTGTATTAAATTTCAGGTATTGTTGAAAGTTTTTAGCTTTTTTCCTTGTTGAAATACAGCTATTTAGTGCTCAAAAACAAATGTCTTTTCGGTGGCGTATTTTCCACTCCATACGTACATGGCGGCCTTCAATTTGGCTTCAAAGATGGCCGCCAAGTTATCGTTCCAGTTCCCTTAGAGTTCACTGGTCCAGTCTGTTCAATCCTTGGACTTAAAGTTTGATCATTCTCGTACCCAGAGCCCTTCTTACGCGCGGTGCGACGAGGGGCTCTGACCAAATCCAAATTCCGAACTGGTATCCAATTGGCTAGTTTTAACAACGGATATTGTTTTCTTACGATGTTTTTTATGGTATCCGGTTATGGATTTGACCAGAGAGAATTTGATGTTATAAGTAAACTTGGGACTTTTTTGCCATTGTAGCCTTTTACGCATAATTTTAAACTTTTTGCAGAGTATGCAAGAAATCAATAATGCAAAAAATCTGTAGATAAATCATGCGAGATGTCGCGCGTTGAACTTATTTACATCAAAGTTTCAAAGTTGTCGGGTACTTTGATATACAATAGTTCTTAAACACCTTCCAACTTCGCGTTTTAAACCTTAGTTTAAAGTTCTGTGCGCAAATCATCTTTAAATTAAAGTACTTTTGGAAAACAGCTCTGCTGTACTCAACAATTTACTTTTCAGAATAATTTGATGAGAGAGATACCAGAATACCCCAAACTACCCATGCTAACATAAATTGTCAAAATGTGGAATTTTCAGTTTAGTGAACATTTTAGAATTGTGCACTTTTTTATATACCCTGTATAGGTAATTCATTCATGCAGTGACGATATATAAAACACATGCAGTAAAATAGTTAAAAGTAAAACAATCCAGCGTATAGCTGCTACTCACCACCTGACTCAAAGTTACAGAAGCAGCGACGAAAGAGCTTCGAACAGCGTCTGGCAAATCTGAAATCTGTAAAGTGTTTAGTATTTATATAATATGGGCAAAACCAATTTCGATATTTTCAGTCAACAAAAGCTAAATTTAATAATAAGAAATCGCTTACTTCCATTTTTCATTTCCTTTTTGTTTATCTACTTCTTCGTTTGCGTAATTTGAAAAAATCTTCCATACAAATAATCAATTCCTTTTAATTTAAAATGTTTAATAAGTTTTCTTTAAAACAATGCGTGATATATGTTTGCATGTTTTATGGCAATATATATTTTTATCATGCATCTGTATAATTTGGCTTGAGACAGAAATACTTTTTTCGTTCTTTTTTTTTCGTTCCAGTTTAGCCCAGAAAAAAGGGCACTTTTTTCACTTTTAAGGGTAAGTAAAATAAAATGTATTATATTTAAAGAAAACAATGACAATCCTTATGAAATCCACAATAATTATGTTAAATTAAGCATAGTTTTTCATCCCATGCATGGAAATATTTTTGAAGAAATATGTAAATTTAATTTCTGCCAGGTATATAGTTATTTTATGCATATTTAGCAATTTACCTGGGGTGGTGCCTGGTCATTTTCTTGTAAAATACTATACTTAGACAATTTTTTCCTTCCAATGACCACCCCTAAAAGCAACCCTTCTACACACTATGAGCACTTCAGAAAGCTATCGCTTCTAACACGTTCTAGAACGTTTTACTGCGGTGCGAACACGTTTTAAAACGTCGTAAAACGTTCCAACACGTTTCAAAACGTTCTAACACGTTCCAGAACGGTTGAGCTAGGGCGGGGTCATTAATTTTCAGGACTATCGTCCCGGATGCAGGTTTTGGCACATATGCCATGTTGACCGCCATGGTCATTTTACCCTAAAACAGTTGAGATTAGTATACCTGTCCTAAATGAAACGCATACAAACTCATATATAGGTCCTAGACTAATATTGCGTTAAAACGCAACGTGCATCAACGTGCATCAACGTGCAATGCATATGCTTTCAAAGTGTGTTTTTTCTTAACAATCATTTTAGACAATCGGAAATATAGACAATTCTACCGATGCCGATTGTCTATACCGATAAGGCAAAAATTGGCCCGATGCCGATAACGATTATCGGTCATTCACTATAATTTTTTACATGGGATGGTCGCTATAATGCTAAATTTTCACAGTTTTAGTAGAAAAAAGATTTAACCGAAAATCGATTATAATTATCATCAGCCGCCGTGAATTTTTCAATTTTTGTTTTCATTTAACTTAATATCAGAAGACTGCTTAAAAAAATTACGATAATTAATATTTTTATAACTCATCTACGTTTGTTTAACTTATGGCCCGCCAAACAAAAAAATTGCAATAATATGATGATACCTCACCTAATTGCCGTCGCCACTTAAATAAGCTTAATTGTTTAACGATATTGCCCACTTTTTTTTTATAATTATTTTTATGCAAACAAAAAGTATATTGAACAACTTACGAAATATTTACTCGATACATATTGTTAGTTATAAGTATATATCGGATTTACAGCCTTTTTAATTTTATTTAATAAGATTGATGAAATTAGGGGCACAAACATGGATTGTTTTATTTGGCTGACTATAGGCTGCTCATTCTGGGCGCCGCTATATACACTAATAACAATTTTTAAAAACAAATATCTTTAACGAAATCTTATCAATGTTTCATATCAAATCAGAAATGGGCTTCCGTGATGGCGTATAGTTAACATTTTTTTCTAACAAAATCAGCCATTTGCATGCTTAATTAATGCCTTTACCTATTTTGCATATTCCATTTTAAAAACCACAACAGTCTGTTTTATCTGTCTAGAAATCATCGGGTGGTGAGCAATTTCGAAAATGTAGGTTGCTTTTATGCTATCGAAAGAATGCGCGGAAAGCGTGTAGGCGAAACAAGGCTTACACGCATTCTTTCGATAGCGTAAAAGCAACCTACATTTTGGAAATTACTCACCACCTGATGATTCCTATACGGATGAAACAGACTGTTGTGGTTTTTTGAGGTAAAACGAAAAACTATATTACGCTCTATCTATATGGTATTGCATGAGCACTGTTTGTGTTTGGTAAACCAAAAACTTGAGCTATATATATATATATATATATATATATATATATATATATATATATATATATATATATATATATATATATATATATATATATATATATATATATATATATATATATATCTTTATATATATATATATATGTTAAATATATAGATTAATCACTAGGCGAAAAGCCATAAAGGTATATAAATTAATCAACTCAACACATAACGTTACGTTTCGACTTTATTGTCTTCATCAAATATAATCCTACTTTACAGGCGAACCCAATTTATACCCTCCCAATTTTGCTAATTATGCATAATATGAATATAAGTGATTTACCATACAAATAACAATATCCTGTTAACTATAATTAACATTGCTACGCATTCTCTATGTTTAATCCCGAAGGATGCATTGTCTTTAGTTTGCTTATCCAAAATGCCTCACGTCTGGTCGGTTCCGCTGGGTCAGTTTTATCAATTAAAACAATCTCGCAATCACTAATCAATCCATTATGTCCATTACCCAAGAAATGTTGATGGAAAAACATTTGTGTATAGGCCTCGTTATTAACTGCCTTTTGTGGCAGGCTTTATAATTATAATTATATATATATATATATAATTATATATATATATATATATATATATATATATATATATATATATATATATATATATATATATATATATATATATATATATATATATATTCGTTTTCTGACGAAGGGGCTGTGCCCCGAAACGTATCTTTATCTTTACAACATGTATTTATTCATTTGAAGTTTAATAAAATTTATTTTCTATTTGAAGCTTTATATAAATGAAGTTTTTTGGGAGGCTAGTGATATTTATATATATATATATATATATTATATATATATATATATATATATATATATATATATATATATGATACCGCCTGATGATTCTTTACTAATGAAACAGACTGTTGCGGAATATATATATATATATATATATATATATATATATATATATATATATATATATATATATATATATAATTAATTAAAAATCTCCGGATTGAAATATACTTTTATTGAGCTTTCAACTCGGTACTTCGAGCCTTCTTCAGAATACTGAGATTAAAATTACATATGTACATTACTTAATTAAAGTTTTGCGGTGTTGCTACGTTCCTATATACGTTGAGACCGTCTAATTGGCTGTTCCGCGGTTGATCTGATTTCATTGGTAGTTGAAGAATGCGTTGCACGGTTGAATGAATTTGGCTGCTAGGGATGGCGTCATTGGAATGTTCGGATTGTTGTGTTGCGGATGTTGAAGGAAGTGTTATTTGGAAGTGTTATTTGTTATTTGTGTTATTGCGACCTTTCAACATTGACGTAGCACACAAACCGGCACATAAACTTAGGTCATATTTCACAAAACACAAAGACAAAACTGCATCAAAACAAACAAAAAATGCTTTATACATGATACCTTCCAGAGACTGTCCACAACGATACATAGGTCAAACCTCAAAGAAAATTGAAACACGAATAACTGAACACAAAAACGCCATAAAACGATTATAAATCACTACCTGCAGCACACACATACGACAACTGCCATACCTTCAACTACCCATAGTGACGTCAAATAAACTGTTGCTTCCGTCTTTTTTTCTCCATAATTTGCCGTTGCCGAAAAGAAGAGATTTTCTTGCATGTTTTATTATTGAAATATCGTTTTCGGTAATAGCAGTCACATCCGAAGCCCAGGCCAATGCTTCATTTAAAAGTTTTTCGGAAATAGATGGGTAAAAATCCACAATATCAAATGAAATAAAACTGTGCCTGTCTTTATCGTTTATATTGCCAAACCATGAAATTACTTGTTGCGTATTTCTCCATTGATTTGAATTTAGTTTTTGTCTCAAATTGGAATTGATTTTATCTAAAATAACCTTACTTAGTTTTCCGGATTCACTTTTTGCGGGATTAATTAGTCGGCATTTTGGATTGTTTTCGAAATTTTCTTTGTGATCTTTTAAAGATATAAATGCTTCGCGTTTTTTCATTCGTTCAATTCTGTCGCCAATTCCTAACCTACTCGAAATTTCTTTCAATTCGGAGTCAATTTCATGTATGAAGTCCTCTGATCCATGTTTGTACGTTTTCGTGATGTTATCATGCAAGAGTTCGTTGTATGTGTTCAGTGACGTTTCGTAAATGTTTCTAGTTTTGTCCGCGAAAATGAAAATGTTGGGGGATGAATTAATTTTCTTCAAATCGTTAGCCAAAGATGTCTGAAATTGGTCTTTAGGACGCCGGAATTTTACGTTTTCAATTAGTTTTATCAAGTCGTCTTCGAAAGGTTTAAAAAGTGGAATTGAAAGAGGCGATTTGTTAGACGAAAGGCCGAAAAGGTTGCTTTGGTTTTGAGTCGTTGATCCTTTTAGGAAGAAATTAGCTTTCCATCTCATACGTTTTGTTACGCTTTCCACTTTCTCAATCAAATTATTTAAGTAAGCATCCTGTGATGGTATAGGAATATTCTTTAGTGAATAATCGAATCGAAATTGTCGCATGTTTGAAGTAGAAATAAAATGAATAACGTAGACAAGAGTGCACAACCGATTACCGGGTGCAAATATAGCTTAAGATTTTGGTTTACGAAACACAAACAGTGCTCAATACCATATAGATAGAGCGTATATATATATATATATATATATATATATATATATATATATATATATATATATATATATATATATATATATATATATATATATATATATATATATATATATATACACACACACAAATTGGATACTAATAGCTGTCTTGCAAAATTGAGAGCAATTTCAAAGCAGTTCAATTTATTTATTTCGCTGCCTCGTACCCAGGCGCTATGTGTTGTTTTATGGCTTGAGTGGCCTTTGCGTGGGCCTTTGCGTGGACTAATTTGATTCCAATTTTCCGTTTTTCTCACACGCGTGCAGTCCCGCGCGCGCTTAATGACGTAAACAAACAAAAGCGCCTGGGCAGTATATTTCGTGTTTGGCGAAACCGCAGCCGAACAAAATTACAAAAGTTTGCTCGTCTGTAATGAGAATGAAACGGGAAGTCATTTTGTTTTTGTCCGGAGATGAATAGTGCAAGGATATCCGGAGCTGAGCAACCAAGTAAAGCATACTTCAAGCAAGGACAAAAAGCTGAAAATCAATCAATACCTGGACTTTAAGAAAACAAGTTTCGGAACGGTAGATATATGTTTTAAAGTGCTTTTTTCGATGTTGAACAGCGATGTTTTCTTTGTGACTTCCACGTCCAAGTCTTTATAATTTTCAACACTATTGTAACAGAAATTCCTCAATTTTTCGCCACAAATAAATGTAAAACAGTCAGGAGTACGTGTTGACAAAACCAGAATAGAATACTTGAATTGTAGTCAAAATGTGAAGAAAAAAAATTTTCTTGGTTTTACATCCGGGTATAACTCAAGTTTGTTGTCATTATCATGCTTCAATTGGTATATATAACCATAGACAATACATACGAATGAACGTTGAATCGGCGTCTGTTACCTGATGTTGAACTAACGTTTGCAAAACGACATCATGCAGAGCAATGTTGATATTAGGTTTACAAACAGCCTACAAATTAATATAGAGATTTTGGGCATCTCGTTCGATAGAATTCATATATAGTAGATTATAGTAGATGGTTTCTGTAGATGAAACTTTCGTATATACTTTTAGAGGGCATGCAGTTGCATATTTCTCAACTGTTCCAGGTTAGGTCTAAACGTTTATAGATATTTACGTTCGAAAATTCCATTTACAAAAACCATCGGCTATGCAAATTAATATATCTAAATTCAAAATATTTATTTCAAACCTCGTTTCCTGATAACAAATGTTTCTTTCTGACATAATATATTTGTAAGCAATGAATGTTAATGTTATTTCTAACGTACAATAATAAACTCAAATGTCTTATCTTAATTTACATAAATTATTCTATAGGTTCACCTCGTACGTTTACCCATGCACATGATAATTTTATGTGTGTATAATTGATTTGTGTATGATATATGACTTATTATCTTTGACTTATTATCTTGTTATAAATATATATGTATATAAGATTATTGTGTTTCCTTTAAAGAGGCTGTTAAGTCCGTTCTGCTCATGCGCGTGTTTTGTTTACATTTTTATTTCGAACAACTGCAATAGATAATTTAATTTAATTATCTACTGTTTGAAACAAAAATGTAAACAGAACACGCGCATGAGCAGAACGGACTTGACAGCCGCTTTGAATTAATGTACGTCTTTTTCGTAATCATCATGAATAAACTTATTACAGTTAGGTTCACAGACTTTGCACCATTAAAGAGATATGGCAATCCAAGTTAGGTTTGTCTGATTTGATAGAACCTTTAAAATCATATCTAAATCTCCTTTACTGGTTAGCCTTTTAAAAATACTTCAATATAGATGATTAAATAACAATTATTAGGCCCCGTTTAAACGACATACTTTTCCTGGGCCGAATTTAATTCATATTTTAGTCGACTACAGAATAGGCGTGTACTTAATTTTGATTCAAACAGGCGTGCTTTTCATGAGCCGTACTTAATTAACTGCGCTTCTCCCCTTCGAATCCCGGGACGAGTGACGGTCACAACAACAAAATTGGCGGTCTTTTTGAAATAATATAATCTCATACGATCTTTGTAGTTCTCGTAATTAAACACCGTTTTAAAAAGCTACAATATGCAAACCGAACATGATTCCTGGACGGAAAAAGGTTATTTTAAAAGGAAATTGCTTAAGAAGAACAAAACAAGAAAATTGTTATCGCCACTGTTACTCTGGGAAGAATAGTATTGCGAACTGCTATGGTTTACTGCCATAATGCATTCATGAATGATGCGATACACATTGAATGCATTCCTATTTTGTTTCCTTTATATGTGATACAGACAGCCATGTTGTCAAAAGATTCCAGCGTGCTGCTAATTTTCCCGCATCGGAGAACGAGAATTCACGAATGTTTTATCATAATTTATGAATCTGGTACGGCTCATGACACAACTGCGTGAATCAACCCGTGCTTCAGCCGTGAAAAACGCCGTAAGCAGCGAACATTTTAATTCAGCCGTTCTTAATAATTTATAAAGTACAGTACTAATTTGATTCAGATGCCGTGCTTCTCATGTACAGAATTCATTTAATTAAGTTTGGCTCATGTAAAGTACGACGTCTAAAACGTTTAGAACGTTGTCAGTCAGATTGTTAATTATAATATCGACTGAAGTATAATTTTGCATTTATACGGATGACCATTATTTTCCAGTTGAGTCAGTTTTCTTTGATGTACCGCGGGACGTATATACAGGTTATAACTTGTGAATAAATAATTAGATAAAACTTGTCGAAACATTCGAAAAAATCTTTATGGATAGTCTCTGAAATTGATGAAATTTTGTTTAAAAACCTCCTCAATTAGAAAATAAGTCGGTTATAAACCCTGAACAAGGAATAAAAGTCCTATATTTGCCCTCGGGTCCGGCGGGTAAATATACGACTTATATCCCGCGTTCTCAGTTTATAACTCTTACTTGTATATCTGGTTAAATATTTGCGTGATTCTGCTTGTATAAACATAAAACATGCATATCTACAAAAACATGCAGTGTGACTTTGTGTTATTCTAATTATTGTGATATTGATAATGTTAGATTACTACATTTTGATGTACTAGGCCGGTTGCTGTGACCTCGAAAAGTGCCTAGAAAACGATTTTCATTAAGCATGTCTTGGAACTGAAATATTTTTACGGGAACTAACACTTTCGAACACGCTTAGTTCCAATCCGAAAACTTCCCGCACCGTACACCCGCAGTTTTCTCGCAAACTGCTATTTTATCTTCGCTAATTTCACAACAAATTTTTTCATTGTTCAACGACACGGATAAAGACACACGATTCGTATGAACCAGTCTATACATTGAACAAAAGACCGGTTTTGCTCGAATTATTTTGAGTTATGTAATTTTAAGCGTGTTGGACGTAAACAACATATCTTGTCTACAACTTTGGGAAGGCACCGATATCGCTTTGTAAAATCCTCAGTTCTGGCTGTATCTCTATAAAATCACAAGGACGTCAATGTTAAGTCATTGGGCTATATCTCTGGGATGAGAAATAATTCCTTACATGCGATCAAAATGTTTTATATAACGCTGTAAAACGGTAATCGTATGGAATGGGTCAGCATTTCCATTTCCAACACAGTTTCTGAGAAGTAATTCAATTCATCTGAACTATTATATCAGTTGGTGTTATTCTGTGCGATAAGCGAATATTATTGGACGTTGAAATCACCAAATAAACAGCTTATGCACACATTTCTCCACTTCGTCGTAAGTTTACAGAGCAGATTTTATACCTTGGCCATGGTCGTTGTCTTTGATATGAACATTTATTCTCCTAGTTTAAGTTTATTTAAGATTCATCCTGTCGTAAGTCTTCTACTAGCAACCAATCGACAATATTTCACTTTAGCGTTGTCTTTGCCGTTACGTTGGCTTCGCATTACTTTTGTTTTAAATACCTTGATCACGTTACATTAGTTATTTTTCAGGCCAGTGCTATAGCCAAAAGACTTAGCATTAACGTCCTTGTGATTTTACAGAGATATCGCTAGAACTGAGGATTTTAGAAGGCGTTATCTGTGCCTTTTCAAAGTTGCAGACAAGTTATGTTGTTTACGTGCAACACGCATAAGATTACATAACTCAAAATGATTCGAGCAAAACCGATCTTTTGTTAAAAGGAAGACTGGTTAATAGAAATTGGTCGTTTTGAGTGATATAATCGTGTGGCGTCATCGATCCGTGTCGTTGAACAATGAAAAAAATTGTTGTGAAATTAGCTAAGATAAAATAGCATTTTGTGAGAAAACTGCGGGTTTACGGCGCGGGAAGTTTTCGGATTCGAACTCAGCGTGTTTGAAAGTGTTAGTTCCCGTCAAAATATTTCAGTTCCAAGACATGCTTAATGAAAGTGAACGATATCAGGACGCAGCAAACGGCCTATTCGTGGTTCTCTCTCAAAACTTGCCATTGATCTGCGAAGTCTTGCTCTCGTCTCGTCTTTCGTCTTGTGCGAAATATTTAAAATGTTCAAAGCATTCCAGGCGATATAACGCATATTCCTGCAAACAAAGTATACAAAACATATCAATGATCGCTGGTTAGTTCAGTTGGTAAACATGCATAACAAGGACACGGTGCGATCATTGAAGTTTTTAGGCGTACCTGGCTGGTATACGCTAATGCATAGTTGTTGCCGCGTGCTTGCATGCGCTAGTACAAACTCAGTACTCAATGTGTACTTAGTCATTAAAATAAGTTTCATAAAGTAACAGGTTTCTTTCAAGTATGTTCAGACTACGAAGAAGAAAAGGAAGCACAATTGCATATACAAACAATCGACTCCAACGTTTCTTAGTGCCATCAGTCCAATCAGGTTTCATGCCAAGACATCTCAGATACATGATATCAGTGATGGATTTAGGTGCAAAAATGACGTTTATCCTAATTCTAAACTTATGTTAAGGAATTCAGTCATGGGCGTACCGGAAGGAAAAAATTAGGGGGGCGGAAAGAAATTTGCCCGACTTTTCCGGATTGTGCCCGACCAGTACCGAAAAATTTTTTTCCGGAATTTATTTTGGCGACCCCCCAAACCAAACCAAAACAAACTTTTTCGGAACATCACAAAATTTTTCAAAACATCACAAAATTTACAGAATTCAGTTTAGTATTACTAGTTGACAATAGCGGAATAGCCAATATTAAATATTCAGAATTTTTAAATGTTTTGAGAATCTAAAAATTTTCCAGAATATTTTCTCAGAATGCTGGAAATGCCATTTCAGCAACCGAAATTTTAAAATTTTTCCGGGGCAGTATGCCCCCGGACCCCCATAGAAATCTCGCGCCTTCGGCGCTCGTTTCGCCATTGGTTAGCACCAACTTTGCTGGATCCACCACTGCATGATATATCTTTGACTTGGAAAGGTCATGTGCATGGTAGCAGAAAAACATAAGTACGCAGATAGCAAGAGTTACATATACGTGGTACGTGGCTGAAAACAAAGACTGAAGTACCAGACCGTAATATTGGCGTATCTGCGGTAAGTAAGCACGTGAATTATCGCACCCTGAAGGATAATATACACCGGCCCCAGAAGAGCATACAAACTCGGCCACAAATTTTCGGGCGTTTGTTTTACAATTGCCCTGCGCAGTTTGACAAGTTGGTTGTAAGTAAAAGAGTTTATTAAATCATTTTTCACCCCCATTCAGAACTGCAATATTGTGACATAAGTATACTGTAACATTAAACAGGCTAAATGCATTACTCACCAAATATCCAAAATTTATTGTCGATTTATAACTCTGAAGAATAGAAAACATCGCCCAAAAGAAGTGGGAAAGTAACGATAATCTAAAACAAAAAAGTGTTACTGAAAAACTTACAAAATAACGTGCACACGGGTGTACCACACCAACCATGGTCGGGGGGAGGGGGGTCTACGCTATATCCAGCACCCCCGCTATGCGATGGTATGACCACGAAGTAACCAGAATGAAGTAACTTTGTGTTAAGGTCCCTCGGCTCGAACTGAAAGGGCTCCGTTGATCCGCGACCGTGGCAACGTGAATGAAGAGGTGATCATCAACAATCCAATTTTTACTCCAAGACAAAGGTAACTATGAATTGTATCTCCTTCTAGTACGCCATAGTTGTTCAAACTGCTACGATAAAAAGGTTCAAAGTCGTGTGGGGTGTTCCATGTGAATTCACTGACTATTGCTTCTAAAGGGTTGTTTGTATAAAGAAAGATAAGCACTTTAATAGGCAAACAAAGTTTACTAATGTATACTTTGGCCCTTGCCTGACGGAATAGTAAACTTCATGATCACGGTATTCCGTTTGTATAGTAGAAAAAATTGTGGTACCATCGACAAACAAGGGTTTTTCTCTTGTATAATATATCACTTTATACCGGACTGTTCCAGTTCGTAGCTAAGTTCTTGTTCGCTTGCAGTACTTGGGTATTCTAATTTCTTTGCAGCAATAAGCCAATATTAACTTAATTAACTTTGCTACAATAACATGACATACAAACTGGCGCCCCTGCCATGTCGTCAAAAACAACTTTAGCGTTTAGTTTTTACGACTCAAACTTTATACAAAACGTGGCGGTATATGTATCTGGCGTAGAGAACCGTCAGCCAAGCTCCAAAAATTGGACAATAACAATAGGCGAGATTCGAGAGACAATGCGTATGACCGCACAAAAAGAGCACGAAAGTTCGTACCGTCGTGGAAAGATAAATTTAAGTGGGTAACCTACAACAATGAACTTGACAAAATGTTTTGTGAATTTTGTCTTGCTCATCCGACTGTGGCAAATAAGAATAGATCGTTTTTTATTTGTACCATAACTGTACATGTTATTCAATTATTCAGTTCATTTTGGGAGTCTCAAGGATGATTTTACGAAAATCAGAACATTAACGCGGACCCTGCGTAAACAGGCTCTCAGAAACAGTACATTAATTAATTAAGGAATAGTGGATTTTCAGACGGAATAGCAATTTCAAAATGTACTATTCCGGCTGTATAGTATAAAAAAATTTAAATTTCGACCCCTGCATATATATCAAGGATACTCTCAGGAAAATGTTTGCCAAGATTTGCAAGTGTAAACGGGCTTTTAAATGTACAACTCGGAAAAGACATTTACCTGTCCGCTTCAATAATAACTTCCTCAATTTCCTCTTCGGTGACGCCCTCTGTGTCTTTGAATGCTTGCAGATACGTCCGAACAAAGAAGACCTGCGTTGGAAATGAATAAATAATTTCAACTCAATCAATGTAATCATATACTAAAACGAGTTTCTCGAAAACCTTTGTACATGATTTTCAATCGACAATAGTACAAAACGCAGAATAATGTCTTACCTTCTCATCGTGAGATGGATATCTGCTCATATCTCCAATGAAATAAGGATAATGTGGATAGTTATAGTCGTTCACCCACTCACAGAAATGATTTCCAATATCAAATCCTCTAGAAAAATACCAATATTGTTCATTAATTTTTTAGTAATATTTATATGTAGTAATAATTCATAAAATTTATTAGTATTAAGATAGAAATAATTGAGAAGGATTTTGTACATGGAAATTTCGTGCGTAAATTTCATACATTTATTAGACCTAACCACAGTGGTGCCTAAATTACTTTGAACAAACTCGAGTAAAAGTAGAAGTAATTAACAATAAAACGACTTGAGTAAGAGTAAAAAGTACTGGAGGCAAAACGTACTTAAGTAAAAAATACAAAGTATTATCAAAAAATACTTGAAGTACAAAGTAAAAGTACTATTGTCTGTAGTGTACGATGGGGGGGGGGGGGGGGG